AATGAAGTCGGTAAAAATAGCTAGGTTGAAAAAAATTGATAAAATTATTAAGTATATTTGAAATTTTGACTGCCGCGTTGACGCGTCGAGTGGTCGCAAAGGGGCTGAATCGAACCCGAGAGGTTCGATTCGGCCGGGCAAAGTATTACTGGGTTTTTTCAAAAATCTCAGTAGTAGCACGGAGCCTAGAACTCGGTATATGGCAATAGACTCACCCCCTATTACATAGGACTCATAACATAAATAGTGTAAATGTGGATGTTACATTGTACAGTGGCATTAAGTGCCGTAATGTGCACCTCTGCCTACGCCTTCGGGGATAAAAGGCGTGAAGTTATCTTATATTTGAAATCAAGGTTAGAACTTAATTAAAGAAACTTGTAAATATTGACACATTCATTGTTTTCCTTATTTACATAGCATCGATATCACAACTAAATTCTTGTTAAGCGATAACACCGGGAAAATACCTACATTTAACCAAAACACTATAGTTAATAAACTAAACAACATGGGACTGTACTGTTTTTATAATAACTATCGTGAGACATACTAAATTAACTAAAAATCACGGATTACTCACGTGAATATACTGAGAAAAGCTCTACTAGTGTCAACCACAGAGGGGTTCTTCCTCATGAGGAGCGTGCGCGGCCGCGGCGATGTCGCGCAGCCTACTTTACATTACTACATACTCTACTGTACTTACTGTATATTAGTTGAAGGATATTTTACACTATTTAAACTGTCAAACACCAGGCGGTCACCGGTGACCGCGACCTATTGTTCTTTAATTGTGTCTATAAAACCGGTACTCGACGAGTTAATCTAGTCTAGACGATTACATTTCAACTATTTTCGCTCTCTTTTTTCAAAGGGAAGCACTCTAATATTCCTCCATTATTTTTTATGAGAACAAGCCGAATCTGCGTCACTCATGGACACAACACCAAAGGCACAGCACCAAAACAAGTGCATTGCTAACCTTTTAAAAGATTGTTCCTCAAGTAACGTGTAGTTCCTAGTTCATATGGTAAATCACAACGCTAGCTAAGGAATTGTTTGACCTGATACCGCCCCCGCATCTTTTCGCCATCGACCCTCACGACAGCATACGCAAGCCCATCATATAGATGGTCGGCAGGCCACAACTGTGCACTTCTCACGTAGCTTTCTGCCTTGCAAATCAAAACTGTGGAATGATCTGTCGTCGACGGTATTTCCGAACCGATACGACCTTCAAACTTTCAAGAAAAAGCGTACTTCTTTTTAAAAGGCCGGGAACGCACCTGTGACTCCCGTGGTGTTGTAGGTGTCCATGGGCGGCGCTGATCGCTTACCATCAGATGATTCGTCGGCTCGTTTGCCTCCTATTCCATAAAAACGCGTTGTTTTTCGATATTTTTCTATAGACTGTAATATCACTCTGATTGAGTTTACCTATTGCTGTCGAAGCATCATTCGTTCCCGTGAAAAATGTCTATCCCAATTTTTTACACAGCCTAACCAGCAACTACACAGGTATATAACATAGCATTAGGTACTCGTTCGTACAAGGGTAAACAGTAAACTAACAACAAACTCCAACTCCACTAGTCATATTACTATTCTCATTCACAAACTAATTAATAAATTGCAGTGGAATTCTGTCCTTAGAGACCCCTACTTTACATAAAATAAATATGGATGGCATGGCACTCACCGAAAACGGCGTACTTTTCGCATTTCGCTTATAAGTCGGTGTGGTTTGCACGAAGCTTGGGGATATATTGGTCCCTGGCGATATGGGGATGTTGAACGGCGATATTTGCTCTGAAAATGTGTTTAAATTCAGAATAGTTCGGTTTTAATTGAGTTGTAACGTGAAATGCTTTGTTTAAAGTATTTTAAAAGTTATCTATCTACTTAATATATAGGTTGTACATTTTACAGATGTTTCATAGCTGATTGTGGTGAGACTTATTGAACCAGAAACCGAGGTAAATAGGTAATGCGAATTTAATTCGTGCTATATTTATTTTCAATATTGTTAATTATTTTATTGGAAGAACGTTATAATATGTGTATATTACTTGTATATTACTATTCAAAAATATTGCTAGAACCAAAAACGTGGATATTAACTCGTCGAGTACCGTATTTAGACACAATTAAAGAACAATAGGTTGCGGTCACCGGTGACCGCTCGGTGTTTGACAGTTTAAAACAAAATACTTTTTACTAAGTAGGTAGGTACTACGTTTTCTGCTTTTGAGATGGATTTAAAAAAAACGTTGCCCCACACTATAATTTTCTCAAGACACCCAGAGCCGGAACAATAATCTGTGGATCACACAAAGAGTGGTTCAGTGCGGGAATCGAACCCGCGACACGTTGCGTGGCAGCCACCGCGCCTTCCGTAGATAGATGGAAATAGAGTTACATTTTAATTCTTTTCACTGAAGTAATAATATGGGTAATATTTAAAATAATAAGAAAAATATTACTCGATTGGCTCGCCAGTTGAGCTTCTAAACTCCTTATGGTTCTCTGGTACTCCTTCAGCTGGTTATGTTGCTTTTGGCACAGTTCCGTCATACGTTTCAACTCAGTACGGGCTGTATGAAACTTTTTCGTCTGAAATAAATAAAGTAATAATGTAATGGTCGAAAAGGAGGCATAAAAACGTCATGTTGTACGGGTTACGCAAGTTCAACGATGAAACTCGACCACTTTCAAGCAACTTCGAGGGCCCGTAATCAATCGTGAACGTAAGTCAGCCGTACAACAAAATTAATGTAATATGAGACATAATATTACATTAATTTGAACACAAAATTACTAAGTAGTAGATACTATTAAGAATAAACCCTCTAGGGTATTACTAACGTAATAGCCTTTAGCGATAAGCCTTTAATGTATTACCTCACATTTAACAACCTAACTAAGTTTTATCTTGTTTTGTTTCCCTTTACTAGTGCACAATGAAAAATGCTCCACCTTTTCCTACCCGACTCGTTAAAGCTAAATTCGCTATTACGTATTCAAAGTGCCCTTTGAGCACGCATCAGCATCACAAAATAGTTCCTAATTACGTTCCCTTTAGGTGTATTTTGCAACGCAAAACATTATGGTGTTTTTTAAAAGAAAAAAAGAAGGAAAATTTTGAATAAAACCTCGTTTGTGTCGTTTGAAAACATTAGGCAATCTCTTTGAGACTGAATTTGTCAACTGACACAAACAGAATTTCATGGTGCAGTTTTTCACTCACATTTTCTAACGAAATAGCACAGGAACTTTGCAGAACTGACGGAAATATCATTAAAAGTTACTATGTTCGTTATTACGAAGTTAGTACTGTAGTTACGTAGCTTACTAACTAATAAGAAGTATTAATTATTTTTATTTTGAGTATAATCTGTGCACAAAACATAATTACAAATTCATCTCCTTAGATTAAATCCCGACCAACAAAACAAAAAAAATCAACTCACCGATTGTAATAAATAAGATAACAACCGCCGTCTATGTTGCCTCTGAAACTGTAACACCTCACAGGACTTTTTAATTAGTTCCTCCGGATCGGTAAAGTAATCTTGAATCTCTTGTTTCATCTTAAAATTAAATCGTTAATGAGAAAATTACGTTCCAAGGATTTGTAAGTAAAGTTGGTACGGAGGCAATATTTTGCGAAATTACATACGTCCGGAACGAGTTTCATGATGGAACACGGCGCTCGGCATATTAAACATGTACTGTCTTTACCGCCTGTAATAAATTTATTCAGAGAGAATCTGTTATAGCAAAAATTTTAGTCTTATTATTTTTGTTACATTTCCACACTTACCTTTTTCTAAACAACAGTTACAAAACATGTGACCACATGACGTTAAATGTAAAGTAATGCCAGGTTCTAATTGAGCAAAACAATTATTGCAATGAATCCAATCCATCATTAATCAAACGATAATTACCCTCACATCACAAAGATAAAATCACACTCATTTTCACACTAATAAAATGAAAAGTGACATTTAATTTTTTTTTAATTCAACTAGAATAATAGGCTATGGAATTCATTGTTCCGCTTTAAAAAAAAAAACCAACATTAAATTCATTGCAATATTATTATTATTTAAAATTCTAACTTTTAACTTTTTCAAGAAAAAGTTAAAAGTTAGAATTTTAGAACATCACAAGTTTTTATAATAATTTACAACACAAAATTGCCTTTTATTTACTTTTAAGTTTTAAAAACATTAACCAGAATGCAAATGAAAGTATTTTTTTTTTTTAATTTTTGAATGTCGAACACGTTTCCATTTATTTAAATAAAACTTATTGCGCGTTAGTGAGGTAAAAAGTTTGGTTACTTACTCGTGTCTGCATTTTATTTTTATTAAGTAAGTAGAATTTATTATTTACATTTCAGATAATAGTCGCGTCTGGCTGGTTTGAAGTAACATTTACTTTACGTTATTTGTTCAAAGCATAGTCCCAAAGTAAGCAATAATTCTTGTGCAAACTATAGGCATTAAAGGTTAATGCGAATACCAGACACTAGGTAAGTACCTAATATAATACAAAAATATTTTCAAATTAAATAGATAGGTACCTACACCTACCTAAGAAATACTTCTAAGTACAGGGTATTTATTACTGAACTGCAACATGTACTGATTTGTACCTAGATACTTCCTAGAATACTGCTATCAATCTTAAATCTAGGTAGTATTTTATTCATAAAAACTTCGATAAAAACTATCATAAAATTTAATCTACAAGATCTACAACCATGTAAGCAAATCTGTGTCGCGTTGTTTTCCAATACGCATCACTCGTTGCACAGAGTCATACAATCTAGGTACACTTCACTACACAGGTCATTTGTCCGGTAAACGCGACGTCCACCTCTGTGTTCGCTTGTGTGATGGAACAATCACAATAAGATAACGTGTGAATATAAAAGAAGTTTCTTGGACGGCCCGCGGTAGTAAGGCGATAGCGCGCTCGCCTTGACCATGGCAAAGTACCTAAGAATACTACCAATTTATCTGATTGCCCTAACATGTGTCTGTGTCCATAGTAAATCATCATGTATGTTCTATTTCTATAATCTATTCTCTTTTTGTTTTAAATGTGTTTTTTTTTATATTAGTGCATTGTGTTTTGTTTATGGAGCTCGGATTGGTGTTCGAAGTTTGAAATTCAACTTTTTTATGTTTTTATTATTAATTTGTGTTGTTGTAGTGTTGTGGTCGAAGGTTGTGTTATTCGATTAAGTATAAAAATAATATTTATTACTTAGTGTTATTAGTTGTTATTATGTTTTTCTTTGCGATAGTGATAGTAAAAAAATTATGTTCCGACTATATCGGTTTACAATGTAGGTAAATGTGCTATCTACCTCAAGTTGTCTGTGACATTTGCACCCGTCTCATATTGCAAATATCATCTGTAATATTTTCATGTTTCGTAATTTTTGTTGCGGAACATCAGCTTCCTATTTTAGGATGCCTAATCAGAGATTAATAATATGATAGTTTCCTAGCTGCATAACATAAAATATTGTAACCGTGTCAATTGATTGAAGGCACAAGGTACCTAATAGGTATAGATAACGTACCTGTACTTACAAATCTAAGAATTTTTCTATTAGGTACAGTAAACTAGATAAAACTTGCATTTTTACATTCATCCAGAATCTATCTTGCTTTCTGTTTCCAACACATAATGGCCAATAAATTGTGGTAGAAACCATTCGTTTGATGTGTTTATTCCATTTCGATACCGAATTTCGTGAATCGATTACTATTCGATTTATGTCTGTGAGTAACTGTCTCAATAAATCGTCTAGGATCGAATAGTTTGTCAGCGGTGTAACTTACGATACCTATATTATGTTTCTCTACGACTTTATGTTAATGTAGGTACTGACTAAAGTTACTTGTATCAATGAACAAATTAATGCTGCCGATTGAATTGTTTAGGTGTTACAAAATCACAGAATTTATATTTAGTTCCTAAAAGATTAGACTTCTAAGTCTAAGATTGAATAACGTGTCAGGTATTATGTCATTCTATCACGTAATACATACAAATAAAATTAAATAACAACGGTCATTGACATTGAATAATTTAGCACCAAATTAATTTAAGAAAATAAACAATTGGAACAAAAATACTAACTTACACGGTAAAATATAATAAAGTATTTCTTAACATTAGGATTTCGGAGTGTAATTTCGATCTAGAATAATTAATGGTTTTCTAATATTGTTATTTCACATCACTATTTTTGTGATCCATAAACGAAAAGTTTTAGTTTTTTTTTAGAATCTAAGATAGCACACCAGAATTATTTTGAATTTAAGTCTTATGGAAGAATAATTTATAATTTTTTTTATATTTTAGTTAAAATATGCGTACCATCGCAATACTTGAAATCATGTCAGGAGATGGCGAATGCACCAACAAAATCCAAGACCCAGATTGAATGTGTACCAGCCAGAGACAGGTTAGTACCTAAATACAATAATAAAATTATTTTTTTATGTAAAAATTTATCAATCAGCCAATTTATTGCTAGCTGTTGTATAAGCATAAATCAATGGGTTCTGGGTTCAATTCGTTATTCCAGTAAAGTATTGATATTAAAACTATCGTGAGACATACTAAATCAATTATTATGTTTCTGGTTTACTCATATTAATGAGTAGCGTCGCAGGTCGCGAACTGCTGCTCATGAATATTAGACTCAGACTCTAGCATGGCTTGAAACTAGTGTAGTTCCTCATTAAATAGTTAAGTGAGTAAGCCAAAAACATAATAATTAATTCAGTAAATTGTGTCTTTTTTTGGATTTTCGATAGTGTTTTAATGGTGTCTGACTTACCTCTGTAAGCATGGAACTCAATAGTAATATGTGAATGGTGGTACATTGTATAAATATACCTTGATATACCTTGGCTTACCCATTCGTCACCCAAAGATTTATTTATAGAAAAAGTAAAAATAAAAGACTGCCTCGTTGGCCGAGTGGTAGCAAGTCCGATTGCCGGGCAAGGGATCTCGGGTTCGATTCCCGGGTCGGGCAAAGTATTACTGGGTTTTTAAAAAATTCTCAGTAGTAGCACGGCGTCTGGATTTGTGCCTGCTATATGGCAATAGACTCACCCCCTATTACATGGGACTCATAACATAAATAGTGAAAGTGGGTGTTACATTGTACAGTGGCATAATGTGCACCTCTGCCTACCCCTTCGGGGATAAAAGGCGTGATGTTATGTTATGTTAAAAATAAAAGCCTACATTCCAAGAAACCCTAACTTCTAGATTGCCTCTCAAAAAACTAGAGATGTCTCAACAACAGACGTGCCAAGTTGTCCAATTTAGACAATTACGGGACCGTTTTTAGAACTACAGTGTTCTACCTCATTCCAACCATTATTGTTTGCTGTTGAACTTGTGGTGGTTATGTGGTAATAGCTGTTTCGTTTCTGTTGATACAGGAGGTCTTGAACACATTAAAACCTTATTTAATATGTGTAACATTAATGTATATATTTAACTTTAGTAGATTTAAAATCATATAACATTGTTTCTAAGTACTATTTATTTCGCTAGAACGTCAACAGACGGAATAATTAGATTTTTTTATAACGCGACGGAAGTCATGGACTTTCCACGCCGTAAGGACGACGAGGGGGTGTGCCGGACTCTTACCGACTAAAACCACCGCGGTGTTCCTCCTCAGCCTGTGGCCGTGACCCGGGACGCCCTTGCGGATTCACCGCTCCAGGCAGGCATCGACCTACCACTAAATTGCGGCATGTCCCACCACGTAGTAGCCCTCAAAAGCTGCGATTTCCTTCCTCCAGCGACGCGCGTGAACACACCGCTAACGCCTACTCCCGCCCATACAGCAGACGACTGTCATCATCCCTATTTAACCTAATACCCCTTTGGTCCTTATAACAATGGCTTTGATCATTACCCAAATAGTCTTCTTTTAATTAAAATCTAAATTAATTTCAGAGTGGACTGCCTAAACCTAGTCCAACAACGACAAGCTGACATTGTGCCAGCCGACCCTGAAGATATGTACTGCGCTACGAAAGTACAGAACCAAGACTTTGTTGTCATACAGGAGTATAGGACCGTTGAAGAACCTGATTGTGAGTATCAAAGGAAATTGTGTATTTTTTATTTAAAACTACCGACCCGCCTCGGCTTCGCACGGGTGCAATATGCATGTATTATACATATAAACCGTCCTTAAGAATCCTTCTATTAAAAAAAAATCGGATCAAAATCCATTACCTAGTTTTAAAGATCTAATCATACATAGGGACAGACAGACAGCGGACAGCGATTTTATTTTATACTACATATGTAGTGATGATCAGTTTTTAGGTTTCTAAGAGATAACAGTATGTGTGACTAAAGACTACATTAAAAGCATATTTATCCAAAAGCCTGTTAAAGTTAGCAGCAGTATCATCAACAGCTTGCCATGACTGGACTATGTGGGTTTACAGTAGCCTCCATGGCAGAAAGTTTGTCAAAGTCGCTGGCCTATCACTATCAAAAGAATAGGCTCTGAAAGGTCCCTGACGACCTTTATGACACGCAAAAGGAACAAACCCTCTTTAGACTTTTATTCTATGCCGTCAATTCTTTTAATGGTCTTCTTCAGCCAGTAACAAAGTATTTTCTTTTCATAATTAAAACCTGTTTCGTAAAATACTGGCTTTTAAAACGACTTTCCAAGTTTGAAATCCTCATTATGGCTCTTCAAAAGATCGCTACAGTGAACTTTAATGAAAACCACTAAATTCTGCTCGGTCGACTGCCAACTGTTTGAGTTTGCTCCAAACTTATTTACTGTTGAAATGTTAGCGCTCAAAAGGAAGCTCTTACTGTGAACTTTGAAGAGAAAAGAGATATATACAGTTTAAATCTCATTTAAACTGCTTTTGAAGTCTCTCAATAGATACTTAATAAGTCTGCTAAATTATTTAGACAGTATTGTAGAAGTAAGACCTTGTTATCGCGTTTAAGTTAATTAAGCAAAATTCCCTTAGGATCGATTTCCTAATTAAGCTGAATTAGACGAAATCTTTGATGTTTCAATTAATCGCTTAGCTGAGCTTTTACAGTACTCCATAGAGACTCCTGATTTTAAGTATTTAAATTAACAATGCTCCATTAGTAAGTAGGGAAATTCCAAAATGTTTTTAAACAAAGGAAAATTCTGCAAAGAATGCAAATGCTACTGAATTTCAAAGTGTACTTCCAAGTAGTTACGTCACAAGAACATAGCTTAAAGTCAACGACAGTATGAGATTTTGGACCAACTTTAAACTGAATAACGTTCCTCGGAGCGCAAGAAGTTTAAGAAAGGTGTTTCATCTTCTTTAAGTTAAGACCCACTCTACAAACTTTTATAAGAAGTCCGTGACTAATCGTTAATACTGTCTCACCTTTTAAGTCACTACAGACAGCGTATCAAGTTAACCGAAAACTGTTAAACTTCAATGGATTTTCAACTGTAATATGAAGAATCAAAGTTTATAGTAGATTGAAAGATTAAAGTAGTTCGATGTGCTGCACTTTATTCTATTTTACCAAAAGGAGGATTTTATTTTAGCTAGTAAGTACCTGTAGCTCAGATCATCTTAGTACTATAAACATGAAGTTTTGTGAGGTAAGATGGTTTGTTCATTACCCTTCAATTCAAACAAATAGTGTTAGTGGTTGAGTATCCAAACAATAATTATTTTCTCAATATGATGTCAAACTATATATTTAAACCTTTATTTAGACCATTGCTGATCATAGATCTTTCTTATATATTGGCGCATTGAACTAGAACGAACCGTAGAGATACGCAACAACGAGTAATGTCACGAATTCTTCCATCGACCTTTTCACCTTCATATGTAACACTTACCAAATTCCTATAAATAAAAATAGAAAACTCATAAAGAAGGTCCTCGCAAAAAAGGTTGATATTTCATCTCAAATCTATGCCATCAAGAAGTCCTGAAATATACATAGAGGATTGTTTTCCTATCTCTATGTTAGGACACTTACTTACCCTCTATCATGAAATATGTATGAACTTCCACCTCCTCTTTGTAGGCACCAAACAAAGGCTAAAACATATCTTACACATGGAACTACACAAAACCAGGTTATGTAAGTCTCGCATTGTATGATCTCTCCGCACATTGAATGGTCAGTTTATGATGGTTTTTCATAGCTTGTTGTGAAGCCGTACCAAACGTGTATGCTGAGTACATGGTAATATATTACTGAAAATAGTAAAGAATATGAGATAAAATTGTCTTGCTATTTCTGTCTGAAACAAATATTATCCATGTGTTTAGGTTACTTTATCTTTCTATCTTTCAGCATGTTTTCGTGGATTGGTTACCTTATAATATAAGCCTACATGATAGATCAAGTGTGCCTTTGGCAACGGTTTTTTTTTAAGGGGGGAAATTCATCGAATGACTGCTCCCGCCTGGGTGAGGCGGGAGGGAGTGTCAGATTCTTACTGACTAAAAACCACCCTGTTCCTTCCCCTGCACGTCGAGCCGGAACCCCGGTTTCGCGTTAGGTTCTCCGCGACGCCTTTGGCAACGATAGCTCCTCGAGTTCAATTTCAAAATCTGGAAACGTGTCATTTATAGGACTGAACATAGGCCGGGCTGAATATTAGCTCAGCCGTCTGCTGATTAACCCCCTTAACTCATAATAACATACTGAAAAAGCCATGTAACAATGTTACTATATACGACAAATAAAAATACTGAAAATAATGTCAATTTAATAACCACATCTGTCTTGTTCTACGGAATTATTTATAAACCCCAAAACATACATTTCAAGTAAAAGTGTGTGGAATATAAATATGCTACCAAACAAATATACCAGCAATATGAGACTGAAGTAAAATAAGATGAATAATGAGACAGACAGACGAATATACCTACATTAATATTCCTTTATATCGTAAAAATATATATTATGTAGTCTCTGAGACATGATAACCCATTATCTTTACGACTGTCTACAGAAAAAGTGAAGAATAGGAAGAAAGAAACAACACCTGTAGGTACTTATACTTAGGTACTTGCTTTGTAATACAATCGCTAATAGAGTTATCGAAATTTTCCTTCTTTTGTTCCTAATTCATCATATTTACATTCAGTCTAATTAATTACTTATTTCACTGTAAATAGTCCGTCTGACGACAACAGACTCTCCTTTAATATGCCATCTCAAGAATGCTATTAGCTATGGAAAAGTTACAGGATACTTTTAATAATGACAACCATTTGAAATCACAATAAGAAAAATACAGAGCGACACCTAAATTGTTATCGACTCATTTCTCATTGCCATCGTACAAAACTTCAAAACGACAGCCAAACAAAAATAACATTCAAACAAATAAAAATAAAATCTAAATTATTCGAACCGATAAAACATTATCAATCGCTTTCAATCTAAACAGTGTTCATACAAACAATGTAATAGTTGCGTCAGTTTGTGATCGGGAGAAAGTTTGAAATGATATGTCCCTAGGCTATCGAAACCGTACCTGTTATAACAACAGCCGCGATAGTAGACAGTTGAATAGATTGTGAAACAAGTTGTGATAGTGACCAAAATATTTATTTTCAACTGTCGTTGTTTATGTCTTCATTTCGATGGGTTTGGGTACTTAATATTTACTTAGGTTTTGGTTACATAGTCTCATTTCAGGGCACCTAGGTCAGATAGATGTCTAACTTATTTAGGTTTACTGCCTCGTTGGCCAAGTGGTCGCAAGTGCGGCTACCGGGCAAGGGGTCTCGGGTTCGATTCCCGGGTCGGGCAAAGTATTGTCTGGTAGAAATCACTATAAATGATAAGACCGCCTTTGTGCCCACTATTATTTTATTTATGTTTTTCATTTCCTTTTCTGCGTGTACTATCTTATTAATGGTGTAGGTACAATAAAGTTGTATTCTATTCTATTCAACTGAATTTAAAAAAAATCATAGTAGCAGCACGGAGTCTGAAATTGTGCCCGGTATATGGCAATAGGCTCACCCCCTATTACATGGGACTCATAACATAAATAGTGAAAAGTGAGTGTTACATTGTACAGTGGTGGTGGCATTAAGGTCCGTAATGTGCACCTCTGCCTATGTTATATTATTTAGGTATAGTATACGGCTATGATATTTAAAAGGGCAAATTAGATTAGGCATGTCGTGATGGCAAGGTCAGGCAACATTGTAGTCCTACTCTTCGTGGGTGTAGTAAGAACTAAGGGAATCCACATTAGACAGAAACCGTGCAGCAGTGCTCTCTAATAAAACCTTATTTTCTAGAGGTTTATAGTCCAGCACAAAACTGCCATAACCTGTCCAGGAATGACGGATGTTGATGATTACCCGTATCCAAATGAAGAATCAGATAAAACACAACTAAATATGGTTAAACAGAGAGTTAGGTTCAAAGGAACACGTAGTACAATCACGTACCTACATGAAAATGGCAAATAATAATTTGTAAACCAAGATAAGCTTATAATGTAAAGGTAAACAAACATTAAATAATAAAGTTTAGAGTAACGCAAAAGATAAAACGTAGAAATGATACCTCTACCTTTCTCATAAATTGTGTAACTTTAAGGAAATACGAAGGTATGGCATAATAACGTGGTGGCAATGAATCGCTTGGTAGTAATTAGGACTAGCGTTCGCGTTGAATTAATAGGACAGAACAATGGTCCTAATGAGTGGGTTGTGGGTATGATTATTATGTATACTAAGGACACTTGAGGCGTCTAATTTTAGTCGATGATATAAAAAATTATGGCTAAAAAGTCTAGAAGTCTAATGTTAAAATTATAAAAGTTCATGTATAAAAAGGTAATGGGTTTGCATGCGTAGTAAGCACTCCTCTACTCCTCCTAAGAGTACCTAGATGTTCCGAGCGTACGGCGCGTCGCGTTCCGCGCGCTCCTCAAAGAGCCATCAGACCACCACAGATGGGGCCCAATAATGCTGATGCCAAAATGAAGCCGCGGAGAACTTAACGGGTTACCGCCACCGGGGCTCCGGCTCGAAGTGCAGGAGAAGGAACGGGTGGTTTTTAGTCAGTAAGAGTCTGACACTCCCTCCCGCCTCAACAAGGCGGGAGAAGTTATTCAATGATTTTCCCTGCTTAAAAAAAGGTAGATGTTGCAAATGCCGACTAAGAGACTGCACAATGCACATTTGACCAAGATAAACCACCAACGCTCTTTGATAAACTTAAAACTTTTTAACTCGGCCTCCAACTATAATTTTCATTTGTTTTTAATTTTAGCACCATTCAGATACGAAGCGGTAATAGTGGTACACAAAGATTTGCCAATCAACAACCTGGATCAACTGAAGGGTCTCAAATCCTGTCACACTGGAGTCAACAGAAATGTAGGATATAAGGTAAGAAAACTACATTACCTATAATATTAATTACAAAACCGCAATTCCACATACTTCGCGAAAAAATAATGTTTTACCATTTTTCCATGTTAAAATAAAAAGGGACATTCTGTGAGTAGGTATAGAATTGCCTTTTAGTACATAGAGGACACATAATAACGGTTTGGAAGAAACCGTGTTTGATTGAAGGTAGTCTTCACATGACAGACCGGATCGGTCTATTGTCAGACTCTGCATTGTGATAATAGACTGGATCTCTTAGTAGGTACTAAGTATCTACTCATTACGAATCATACCTATAACTCAATAAATAAATTCGACTAAATACTAAGACAGTTAAAAAGCAAACGCCTAAAGAATCTAAATAAATATGACGTCGCCGTCGCCTTCAAATGAAATATATTTTAATGAGGGGTTCCATTAGTGTGGGAATCGGGTGCAAGTTGAGCTTGAGAGCCTCCCCAAGTCTCATTATGTTCGTTCCCCCAGAGCTAAGAGTATTTTATCAGTAGGTAGGTACTACTTGAGCCAATCCTTGTTAACAACGTTCAGCTGAGGTCCTATTATGTCTTTTATAAATCTAGATTGATGAGAAGTACGTCTGAATTGTTGAGGGAGTTTCTATAGTTCTTTTCCATTCGAATAAACATTTCGGAACATTACATACTTATATACTAGCTTCTGCCCGCGACTTCGTACGCGTAATCCCATTTTTTCCCGTCCCCGTTCGTGATTTTCGGTAAAAAGTAAAATAAAAATTTGGTTAAAAAGTATCCTATGTCGGTCTCCTGGCTCTAAGCTACCTCCCTACAAGTTTTCAGCCAGATCTATTCTGCCATTCTTGAGTTATAAGTGGTGTAACTAACACGACTTTCTTTTATATATATAGATATATTATTATTAGCGTCAGCTTAAAGATACTTAAATAACAATATATTGACTTCACTGGAAAAAATGTTGTTTCAAATCTTTATGTACATGCAATATATGTATTTACCGATAGTAAATAAAAACAATAAAAGGATAACCTACATCTATGAATGATTAAACATTACGACCCTGAGAGGCATCAGGAAAAAAATACAATAAAGCGATTTATTATAGTATTAACGTCTTTGTGCGTCCTGTCTGTCATTATAATGATTATGTACATATCAATTGTATGTAGCACTTTTTTATGCAAAAACCTGTACTGGTACACACAGCTACAGATCAAGCTATGCAAAACCAGTATAAATTGAACGTCGAATATACGGAGAGATCGTATAAAACGAGATAATGATAAATTGGTGTCAATAACCAGTATCAAATGACCTTTGTCGGTGTGAAAAGAATATAAAAGCTAGACCATGATATACTGGTTGTGTATAACTCAAACTGCAGTCTGTATTGTAGAATGCAGATAATGCCATTACGGGTTCAAGGCAAAGACGATCCTTGCCTACTAGTAAATAACTACTTGGTTTTAACCAGTTCCTTTGTGCTTGTGCTTAAAACCGTCAAATATTCAAGGCGTAGCTTTTATGTAGGATCATAAATACTTGAATAAGGTGAATGTATTCGCAATCTGAAGGTAAGACAATGAACCAGAATATTTATTAGCGCTTTCGTTTTCATTGAAGAAATTCTTGTTGTGAATATCGGTCAAGTATATTTATTTTGAGGTTCTATTTTCGAAGGAAATACTTTTAAAATTATGTTCAATTCAAGGGTATGTTAAAAAAACTACGTGTTTGTGAATACTAAATAAGGTGTAAATAAGGTGGTGTGTGTTATGTATTAAAAGACATTGACGAGACTATGTTCTACTATATAAAATAAGTCAGGTTTTCCTTCCTGACGCTATAACTCCAGAACACATAAACTGATTTCCACGGGTTTGCATTCGTTGGAAAGGTCTCGGGCTCTGTGAGGTTTATAGCAAAGAAAATTCATTCTTCATCTTTTAAACTGTCAAATACCAAGCGGTCACCGGTGACCGCGACCTATTGTTCTTTAATTGTGTCTATAAAACCGGTACTCGACGAGTTAATCACCAAAAGACGCCTGGTGGCGAAACGGAGTTCGCCGAGTTTGCTAGTTTATTTATAAAATTACATTAGCAAGTGTTACTGGACAAGAATTGATAAGTAAATAGAAGTTATTTGTCACGCTAAGACTAAGAGTCACGTCACGTAAAGATATGTATACCTACTTACGTATACATATATTTAAAAAGCAATAAAATCATGGGAACTAGCAATACGTGGCATGTTTTTATAATAACTATCGTGAGACATACTATATTAACTAAAATCGCGGGTTAGGTACTCACACAGAAATATTAATTATATCTGTGGGTACTCACGTGGATATCAGTGAGCTGCACGACATCGCCGCGACCGCGCACGTTGCTCATGAGGAAGAGCCCCTCTGTGGTTCGAAACTAGTAGAGCATTTTTCAGTATACTCACATAAGTAACCCGCGATTTTAGTTAATTTAATACCTACTTTAATTTATAATAATAAATTTAATTACTATAAAATATTTTTATAAATAGTGTTTCGAGTGTCCATGGGCGGTGCTGATCGCTTACCATGAGGTGATCTGTCTGTTTGCCTCCTATTCCTTATAAAAAACAGCCTTTTTTTTCTTATATTTTCTGCAACTTGGCAATCTGTGATCATTCACAATGAGCCATTCTGTTGTGGTCCACGTCACCAGTCTTTGGTCTTTCAGTAGGAAAGTTTTGTTTTTCTCTCATAAGCTGTTGAAACTCGTAGCAAGGGTAGGAACGCTATGGCGTTTGAGTCTGGAGTACGTGCACTTCCCGTGCCTTAAAAAATAGCCTAAGTGTTATTTCAGACCATAATCTATCCCTGGTCCAAATTTCATCCCGATCCCTCCAGCCGTATTGACGTGATTGAGGAACAAACTCACCAACTTTCGCATGTATAATATAAGTCAGATTCGACAGGATAACAGCGTAGTAACAGAGATAAATCCAATGGAGCAAGTAGCTAGGAAGGTCCCATATTATGAGGCCTCATTTCGTCCAGTAGGCAACAAAAACTAATCAGACTTATTTCTGATTATAATCACAGAGCACAAATCTGCTTCTCAGCTCCGTATAATGAAGATCCCTTTTATTACTGCCATAAACGAAGGTACCCTTGATTAAATACGTACAGACGGACGAAAATCTTCACAAAGACAGAGGTAGTGAGACGAATATTAAAAGATAAGTAGCTATAAAATTCCACGGTTTTATATTTCAGAAATGAATATGCATATATCGCAAGTGTAGGTAATATAATAAAACACATCTTATTTCTGGAATATCATTACATGTATTCCGGAGTTTATTGGAACATCAAATCTGTAATATACCTAGTCAGTAAAATATTTTTGACAAATGATACATCCCTACAATAATAAACACCCAAACCTACAATTTAAATAAATAAGATTGATTGATGCCGATATGGAGCCGCAGAAGACTTAACGGGTTGCCGGGGTTCCGGCTCGAAGTGCAGGAGTAGGAACGGGGTGGTTTTCAGTCAGTAAGTCTCACATTCCCTCCCGCTTAACCGAGGCGGGAGAAGTCATTCGATGATTTTCCCCCCTTAGAAAATGTATGGACCTATAGAATCTCCAGTTTGGTTTAAATGCATAATGCACAAACATTATAAACCACTATGTTTTTCAAGACCTACTTAATCAGTTTTAGAAAAAACTTAATCAACAACTTAAGGCCAATAAATCGATTAATCGACTAATAGACACCCAATAAATCGATTAAAACTAAAAATAGATTAAAACAAAACGACCCTTATTCATAAAACCCAAATTCCCTAGTTAATTCTGGTCTAAATGTTAGTCATACAATTAATTTAGGGCCCTAAGTCCTATCGCGAGTAGAACTCAAACCATTCCGAGCTAAAATGAGGGCATGTAGCGAATACATTAATGGCTTTATGCCCCGTAAGTAATTTTACCACAGGTACGAATTAATTTTACGAATAAATGTGTTGTAGGTATAATTTTGTCCATTTTATTCTACCATATCGTACTAAATAGGTTTTGTTCTGACACGGAAGGAAACCGAACACGTATTAGGTATTAGTATAGACATCCATTAGGACTAATGAATAGCGTGTCTTTTGAAAAATGGTTTTAGTATCTTCGTTCAGTTCAGCCGTTTAGTATCACGAACTAAATGACTTATACGAACTAATATTATTGTTCTTTCTTTGTGAGGATATCTTTTATGTACCAACCGTGAAAGGGTTAACGATAATATACGTCTGAAGTACGATCAATTTAATTTTATATCACGTATACGAACAAACTTTCTTTATTTTATATTTGATGTGGCGACGTTTGGCCAATCTCGACTAGTGGTAAGCGATGATACGGCCTACGATGAAGCACGTCTGCCCATAAGCAACCTATTTACTCGTGCCTTCAAGACAAGGAACCAGGTTATACCCTTCTGGAAACACAGACTCTAGCAAAGAATTCCACTTCTTAGCTGTCTTTATTCGATTAACCTTTTCTAATGAAACATTCAATGTGACCTTTTAAATCTAAAAACAATTCTTAAAGTAAAAAAGAATACTTATAGTTTCATAAACAAATACCAATTCTAAACTCAGAAATGGTCTTAAGTACCTACATACGCAAAACATAGGTTAATTACTTGAAGACTTCTAAACGTAATTTAACACGTTTTAAATGTAAATATTACTCATTTATACTTACATTGTTCAAAAACACAATTAGGTGATGTGCTCGTTCGAAATGGCAGGCTGTTTGTAATTATATTTCAGTTACTGAAACTTATACTACGTGGTACGTTAATTTATCTAATAGCAGAACAAAACTTGGTTAATGTAATGTGAATGTGATATTTTGTGTATTGAAATATAGAACTTAATTAACATTATGATTGTACTGTATACTGTTAATTAGATGTTTGTAACTAAATTGTTTGATGTTGGTCTGTGGTTCCTTCGGGAATATGACAAAGTCAGCTTTGCTTTTCCCCGTTTATGTTTATGGATCTATTTAACTCGTCGAGTACCGGTTTTATAGACACAATTAAAGAACAATAGGTCGCGGTCACCGGGGACCGCTTGGTATTTGACAGATTAAATAAGGGTTGAAGTAATAAATATTTATTAATATATAATAAATATTTCGATCTCTTTGACTGGATTTTGGTGTTACATTGTTCTCGCACAATCGAGAAAATAAAACTGTGTAACTAGAGAATTGTATTGTGAACGTGATTGAAAAAGAGTAACCTATGGAGTTTCTTGCTCGTTCTTCTCCATAGGAATTTACACCTTGGAATGAGCAAATATCTTCACTTTTAAATTTATATTGTTAACGTTCAAAAGCCTAGTACCTATAAGTACCTAATACCTATAAGTAAATGTACTAGGAGATCTTGGGTCTATACACTAAAGATACCACGGGACTCCACAATAACCTATTATGTCATAAAGGACGGCTGACAATACCAAACCCGAATTAATTCATTGAATCACGGGCGTGTACGAACTGATTTAGGTGAATATGTCAGAATGTTCAAAGACTAGATATACAAGGTGTTGTTTTAAAGCCGCGTTATTTTCTAGGAGGTAACTCAGATATCGATTCTGAGTCCGAATCAATAAAAAAAATTGTAGGTAAAAATTTTTCAAGAAATACGGAAGTGCGAAGCACACTCCGCCGTCTTGTAACTAGCTTTATAACGCGGCTTAACACACACTCAATCAAACGTAATTGATATTATTCCTAATTCCATAAAACTCCAATAAGAAACATTGCTGTCGCGTATTTTGAAATACTGTCGAACTTTAACGATTTATTATTATAGCCATATTTTTAACTATTGGCCCGAAATTTTCTCTTACATTGAACCTTTATGACTTCTGTGACATGTCCCTGAGAAATGACACTGTTTCAAAACTACACCTTGTATTTTAAAAATATATTCCAATATACAGTAAGTATTAAGTGTAGTATATACCATAAAGGTGATATACGGTTTCATCGTATATTTTATCTGCGCCTCTCAATAGCTACTTGAAATTCAATCGAGAACACAAACACAATGCGAAATCAACTCGACTTACAACCGAAGATATTAAAAAAATACGTCGAACAATAGACAACAAAGGAATATATCGGAGTCTTCTTTCAAACGAATCGTGAACACCTAAATTGAACACAGATTACGAATAGGTGCCTATATTTGAAATTGGAATCAAAAAACAAACAAGAAGTACCTAATGTTATTCCTTTTTAAGGTTCTACGCAAGGACGTTATTAAAATGGCGGACACAGTCTCTTGAAACGACTGTGTCATCTGGCTACTATAGACTTACACGTAGAACATACACACATTGACACGAAGGACATCTGTCATTTCCTTAAGTCTGGTAACGTGGTAACCCACTACACACGCACACATAAATACACCACTGACATTTTGGTGCTTCAATCATTTCTAAGTCACGTTATGTTCGCGTTTTTTTTTCAACTTCCTTGGCTCTACGTATGTTTGATATACATAAATAGTATTTCGAACAACTAAATGTAATTATATAAAAATCGCGGGTTACTCACTGAGAAAAGCTATACAAGCAACTAGCAACACCGATAAGAGCGCCAACTCTAGCTGCTAATCACGCTTCTTATGAGGAAGAACCCCTCTGTGGTTCGAAACTAGTACAGCTTTCCTCAGTATATTCTTGTGAGTAAACCGCGTTTTTTTTTAGTTAATTTAGTATGTCTCACGAAAGTTATTATACACATAGCTAAATGCTCAATTTCTGCATAACTCCCCGGAAAATAGCAATGTCTGCTAATGGGTAGTTCATTAAAATTCAAATCGTATTAACATTAATCGCTAAAAACGCAGATAGACACACGGAAATGACGAACAATTTAACAAAAATAAACTTACATTTGAACAAGAAGATACTCTGCAAATATTACCACACACAAAACAAACTTATTGTGAAAACAAATAATTAAATATTAAAAGTTTTTACGATGAACCTGACTCACAAATAGCAAGTCAAATATTAGTACAAAAACGAACCTTAGAGTAGTAACGAACCTTAGTACCTTTCAAACGAGTATTTCCATGAATTATTTTGAGTCTGTGGACGTCTGGTGGAACACATTAGTATTACAAAGAGCCGAGGCTATGTTTAAATTAGAATATGAAGTGAAACTTGATTTATAAGGATGGTAATGAAACATTTTCTTAGTCAACAAGGGTTAGGCTTGAGTTTTGGAAATACATCTTAACGTGGATAGGGTTAAATATTACGAGTAGGTACTAATGTATCCATTTTCCGTAGTTTTTATTGTAGACATTAAGCTTCATGGTCACGATGTATAAATAAAGACAAAGTAAATATTTCATGAATTTCATCATTCAGTCAGAATAGAACAACAAAACATTTTTTTCAAATGCTAACATTTAGAACGAAATAACAACAAATAAATAAACATACGGCACAGACACATTGTCGAAAACACTCGTTACTTAGGGCTGAATAAATAAAAAACAAAAGTATTTGTATTGTATCGCCCAGAACATCTACTTATAATTCCGCCCGAATAGCGAGTGTCAGCTGTGAGAAATATGCCTTTATGGAGCTGGCTATTGCCGTCCTTAAACGTTATACACCACTAGTATACGTGGCAGTTCTACTAATTCCAAGGAAAACCCTACAGAATATTCTCATAGGTAGGAATTTCCAGAAAACCGACCTTTAGGAAATGATCCCCAATTCCGTTCTAGAAGCATTTGTAGGTAATGCGTAGTTAGACTAGGAAAAATTACAATCATTATTTTCTTTCGCGATAAAATACAAATATCATGATTTTCTTTTAGATGTGGAAATAAAGGCTACTATAATAAAGTGTATTATGTAACGTAATAATATTACTTAAAGGTACAATACCTTCACCAACCTATTTTTAGTCTCATATAAACTTTAAATCGTACTATCCTACGTTTATAAACTATCGGGTATAAAGTTATCTAATAAAAATCAAAATAACTGAAGTATACACAAAAATCATTTTCGTTTAACTATTTTCTCTCTTCTTTCAGATTCCGCTGACAATGTTGATGAAGCGTGCAGTTTTTCCCAAGATGAACGATCACTCCATATCGCCCAAAGAGAACGAGCTAAAAGCTCTCTCAACATTTTTCTCAAAGAGCTGCATCGTTGGTAAATGGTCGCCGGATCCAAAAACCAATTCTGCTTGGAGTAAGATATGCAAACCTTTATTAACAGAAAGTTAAATTGGCGTACGAAATTCTCACAATAAAATTACCATATTTACCTAAATCAACAAAAAAATATTAACGTTTCCAAAGTTATTGTTACGGAAAACGAATGGTTACAAATGAAACTGGGATCGGTCGGACCTTGGCCTTTTCGGGGCAGAAAAATGTTTAGTTGACGTTTGGCAAATATAAAGCATTTTACCCCGATCGTTCTCTTTGAACTTGCGCAGGTTTATTCATGACCCTTAGGAATGAAAAGCGCCGAATTTGAGGATAAAACACGTTCTCTTACGTAACAAAACAGCCGCTTCGCGCTAATCTTACTAAAGGATTTGCGAAATCTTATCAAGTGCTTGCGTTGCTTTCATGCCAAGAGCTTTGTCTGGTATGTTTTCTTTGCATAAATCACTGAGATTATAAGTAAAACAATCAATCCTGTACTCGTATTATTGTCAAGGAAAGGATCAACATTAAAACGCCTACGAGCTTTGTAATTCCAACTAAGCATATTTCTTGTCAGAATTGGGTACTTCTGTCCCCTGAGACTTTCGACCGTCCAATTTTTGTTTAACCCATAATGGCCTTACAGTAAATGTTGTTTCTTTTATTTTCAGAGAGTCAGTACAGTCAGTTATGTGCCATGTGTGAGCACCCTGATGTTTGTGACTATCCTGACAACTATAGTGGTTATGAAGGAGCATTGAAATGTCTAGCTACCAATGGTGGTCAAGTCGCTTTCACTAAAGTTATCTACGTAAGGAAATTCTTCGGGGTAAGTTAAATTTATGCAACTATAACTTTCTCACATCTCGGTCAAAGATTTTGGAAATTGTTTTTTTACGTAGTCCAGTTTGATTTGATGTTGGCTTCCATCAAACATCACGTACCTGCCCACTTTACATAGCTTTATCTTAATTTGCAACAGTTTTTTTAATCCAATTCCAGACTCCCTAATCCGAATTTACTTTTTAAAATTGGATAACCCAGACCTCTTTCTACACTGTTGAATTTTAGTACGTGAAGCTTATCTTATTTTGCCAACGTATACGCAAATATCTATCTGGACTAATCTGGGAATCGGATTCTCTGGAATCACTTTCAGCTGTGCAATGTACAGTGACTCTAAACGGGGCGACTCAGTCACCTGTAGGTAAACCTTTTAGATTGGATTATCTAAATCCGAACATGCAAATAGCTTTTACGTTGGCGCAGATTTTCCTCCGCCTGTAAAAGTATAGATGGCGGATTGATTTTGAGATACACGCCGACTGCTAGATTAAATAGAATCCGCTATAAAATGATTTATGAATCTATTCCATTTGGTTCCTAGTCTTTTCCCAATTTGTTTGATGTCAGCACTGAGATTTAATCTTGGCTGGAGTCTTAACCAGTTGGAAGCGACGCGACAAGACATTTTTGCGTGAAAAGTCTAGACTGAAATCACTATTAGGAGTTTACTTAACATTTTGTTACAATGTTGATAAGTAAGTTCATTTATAAACCACTACGAATCAAGTAACAAATTCAGGAACAATTTGTTGATTGGAATAACCTCTTACTAATTCCTTTACAAAGATAATGAGGGAAAAGGAAAATCAATTTGGCCATTCCTTCCTTCCTTGTTTCCCACTTTCGCAAGGTTTCCTGATTCGCAATTTGTATACAATGGACGGACTGATAAACAATTTAATATGTTGGTAGATACGTTCATAATGAGAGTTCTTGTGAATTTTCATTTTAGCATCTCTTTACACAACTTCTTAAGATTTATACTTAAGTGACGTAACCTCATATAAAATAACCTCTACGTCCTCAACCACGCAATAATGAAAGCCTCAAATAACGACATTGTCTTCAAACAAAGAAGTTCAAAGATTCCTTTCTTTGTCTCCAGAAAATTGCGATTGCCTTTCAATAGATAAAAAAGTAATATGCACAGATTATTAAATATTCTTTGCTTTATTGTGCCTTGTCTATGCACAGTCTATTACTCGAGGGAAATCACTGTTGAGTTGAAATGGAAAATGAAAGAAGGTTTTAACTGTGTATACCCGTTTCTACACTTAATCTAAATTGATGTTAGGATTGGGGTGTAGTGTAGGTACTGCAGTGAGGGTTCATCTTTATCCCTGTAGACTGTACATATATTCATTTTTATACAACACGTACTTCATTGCAGTTGTTTACTATTTTGTTCGTATGGAGGATGACTAGCATATTAGCCTTGTTAATTCTATTATAATACATTAGGGCCATACACTTAAAGCCGATTTTTCAATAATCAATTATTTTTTAACTATAGAATTAAATTAACAGTTGACAGTTTTTAGTATGGAACCATTGTCAAATGTTCAAAATTATTACTCAGTTTTTATCTGACCTTGAAAAATTTACCCTTATAGAAAACCAAGACTTCGATCCGAAGTTCAAGATACTTTTTTTATGGCATAAGCCGATAAACGAGCAGACGGATCATCTGATGGTAAGCAATCGGCGTCGCCCATGGACACCTGGAACACCAGAGGCGTTACAAGTGCGTTACCGGCCTTTTGAGGAATTAGGAGTTTTAGGATCGTTGGGGATTTAGGAATTGGGGAGATTGGGGAAGGGGAGGGTAATTGGGCCTCCGGTAACCTCACTCACACGACGAAACACAGCGCAAACGTTGCTTCACGTCTGTTTTCTGTGAGGCCGTGGTATCACTCCGGTCGAGCCGGCCCATTCGTGCCGAAGCATGGCTCTCCCATAATTACTTAAAGTCAAAAAGATAATAGTAACGTATCAATTCTATATGGCAATGTATTCCTTTGTAACATATACAACATTCGTTGCTATTATTCTTCTCAAAGCATTGCAAAGACTGCCAATATACCTTACTAAATATGATTGATACATATTAAAGTACACAGGATATGATTTGATGGATTGGACCTTGCTAATATCAAGCTTCTATTTAGACTGCCTCGTTGGCCGAGTGGTCGCAAGTGCGACTGCCGGGCAAAGGGTCTCGGGTTCGATTCCCGGGCCGGGCAAAGTATTACTGGGTTTTTTATAAAAAATCTCAGTAGTAGCACGGAGTCTGGAAATGTGCCCGGTATATGGCAATAGGCTCACCCCCTATTAAATGGGACTCATAACATAAATAGTGAAAAGTAGGTGGTACTTCTGTGTGCACCTCTGCCTACCCCTTTGGGGATAAAAAGGCGCGATGTTATGATGTTATTTAGAAATACGTTTTATACCTATATTCTCATATTATGTATTCCCTTTTCAATGGCAATAAAGGTTTACAATTTAGTTGATGACAATATGATTGTCCTTAGTACAAAGGCTTTTGTGTGGGTTTCGTTTATCTAGTAAAAGCAATCTTTTTATTAGGTTAACCCACATAATATGTACTATAAATAATATTACCTACATATATTTACTACAAGAGGAAAGTAATGAAACGTTTTCATGATAACCGTGAGACATACTAAATTAACTAAAAATCGCGGGCAATTCACATGAAAATACTGAAAAGCTCTACTGGTTTCGAACCACCGAGGGGTTCTTGCTCATGAGCAGCGTGCGCGGTCGCGGCGATGTCGCGCAGCCTACTGAACCGCAGCCTCTGCAGTTCAAAACTAATAGAGCTTTTCTCACTATTTTCGCGTAACCCGCGATTTTTAGTTAGGTAATGTTTCATGAAATTGTGAAGGTATCTATTTTGATTCATCAGACGATCCTTCAAAAGCTGAACTGTGCACAGAATTTTCATACCTTGACTGTGAACTTAGTACTTTCAATCAATAAAATAATCAAGTAACTTGGAGACCTTTTTTATATTTGATGGGCCAACATTTGATCTCTATCTGGCCTGGTGGCAAGCTATGATGCGGTCTACGATGGCCCACGTCGACCCATACGCAACCTATTCACTTTCTTAAACTGTCAAACACCGCGAGGACACCAGTGTCCAAACACCTTTTGTTCTTTAAACTGTCAAACACCAAGCGGTCACCGGTGACCGCAACCTATTGTTCTTTAATTGTGTCTGTAAATACGGTACTTGACGAGTTAAGTGTCTATAATGATAATGACTCAAAGGGTTAATACATTTTAGTTACCACACGGCAAAATCCCAGCTGGTACTGCAGAACAAAACCCTGATGGATACAGTTACCTCTGTGTGGATGGTTCCAAGGTGTCTGTTAAAGACAAGGCCTGTACATGGGCAGCGAGACCTTGGCAAGGACTGATAGGTCATAACGATGTCTTGGCGCAGCTGTCACCTTTGAGAGAGAAGATCAGACAGTTGTCTCAATATGGTAAGTCTTACTATAATATAAATGAATATAAATGATTTGACAACACGGTTAGTGCGGTGGCTAGGGAACCGGCTGCCACGCAACGTGTCGCGGTTTCGGTTCCCGCACGGAGCAACTCTTTGTGCGATCCACAAATTGTTGTTCCGGGTCTGGGTGTCATCACTTGTATGTTTATAACCCCAAGACACAGGAAAACATCCCAGTGTGGTACGTTTATAAAAAAAAAAGTAAAGGTGAAACAAGCCTTTTAAGTACAACATAACCTGTCCTTAGGTGGTTATAAAAAAAATAGTTAAAATGTAAGCGTTCTGCTTAAGATTCGTTGTGCTTATCTTCATAAATAATTCACTAAAACACAACTCTCCACTTAGTACCATTTTCTTTGAAACCACACCGAATTGCGTAGTCGCAGAACTGTGGAAAGTACATAAAAAGTTCTTCGTCAAATGGAAAAATTAAGAACAAAAAATTATGATCGGATTAGCGAACAAAAAGTTTTATCTTGATTTCCCTCGCTTCACAATTTAAGTATCTAAAGGCTACGTTTAGATTTGAAGGCTTTTGAATAAATCAACTGTCATTTTGTCCTTCACTAATCCTTCAGCAGTTTGTTTGCTACTAAAACTCTTTATCGTGTCTTAAAACTGTGTTAGATAAGGTTAATTGTATATCCAAATCAAAATATGGTATTAGAGTTCCATAAATGAGAAAGCAATTAAGTATGATACTTTTTTGGCGAGAACAAAATATTATTAAAGTCTGCATGTTTCGATTTAAAACTAAATGTCACCTAACGAGTACGGCTCAGGCACGGTACGGCTGCACGGCAGCCCAGCAATGTCAATGTCATTGAAATATGAACTTTAAATCGTACGTCGTATGACATATTTCATAACTTTAGTATAAAAACCTTTTTGTATTGTTTTCAAAGCAAAAAACGCCATGCCGCAGCCGTACTCGTTAGATGTGTGATGAAATTAAAAATCTGGAAACAGAAAACACAAGAAGATCACAAATAAGATAACACCTAAGTTCAATATAATTTATCAACTACCACCAAAAAAAAAGGGAACCCAATAAATCTAAAAATTAAGCCCGTATCAACCCTATTCAGGCGCTACTACGCGGCCGGGTTGGTTCACCGAAGTACTAGGGTTGTCGGACAAGATATACCACGTCGCCGACAACATCCCTATAAAGCCGATGGATTATTTGAACAAAGCTAACTACACCGAGGTAATCGAGAGAGGCCACGGACCGCCCGAGCTGATCGTCAGGTAAATATCCAAAATGAAATTTCTGTATCCAATATAATCCATATTTATTGAACGGCTTTCCGCATTGTAAGTCAGATCATCCTATCAGAATGCGAATTGGTGTTTTATGTGATATCAATAACGTCTATATTTGTATGTGTGTACTAAATGCGACTGAAATGAATTATTATTTTTGTACAAAGGTTTTCTGCAGCCTATTTATAATTTTTCTTTAATAACTGAAATTAAACTCTATGTATCAGAACTTTAAATGGGGTTTATCTTAGCAAAGCGTGCTCCAAAGTGCAGTTTCTAGTTTAATAGAACAAATAACTCTAATGAATAAAGTTTTGATAAATGTACTCTAGATAGCGGGCATTGTTCCAGCAATGAATCATTTTATAGTACTTAGGCTGGAACCTATTCTATCCATCTTAGTTTTAGATTGAAGATAATAAAGTCTGGATAAATTATACTGCAGTTAGAATGGTTATTCTACACAGGTTACCGAGAAAAGTACGCAGTTTTTACTAATATCAAACAAAACCCTAAGTTTACGTTAGTAAAAATCCATCAATAGCTACCAACTTTTATGAATAAAATAGTAATCTGACTACTTATACTCCCATTAGCACAATAAAGCGATACACTACCCGTGACTCCCCACACAGCAAAATTTAAAAAAGAAATTCAGCCTACAAGCTACAGCCTACCTTTTAATCTCGGCCTCATGAGCTGAATGCTCGCCCTACATCTGTGAAAGACATTTGACACACTGACCTGCGGTAGGTACTAGCAAATCAACCTACACTAACCTGCCAATTTTTCCCATTACATTTTCGACTTTATATCAAAACATTTAAGTTGAAAATGTAATTTGACTGAAACGGATAGGTTGACCTGGTACATAGAATAGAATGCGTGACCCCAAACGTGTAAAGTACGTCATTATAAATAGAATGTGCATAGATGTCCCATTATTTATGCATAGTGTCACGCGTCCCCGAAGGTGATATTGAGGGGTGAAATGTATTAGTGGTCTGTTTTGTGGGTATAATGTTCGTAGCTGTGGTAGTATGTAATAGAGCTAATAGACATAGACTCTTAAGTTCTATAAATTGTCGCCAAATTCTTTCCTTACGTCCTTTTTAAAAATCTGTTAGGTATATTGCACTAGCACCATACTTTCTACTAGCAATAGAACTTTATCAGGTAGTCTTTTCATACATACACATACATACATACTTACATACACTCGAAAAACATTACCCTCCTTCTTTGGCAGTCGGGTAAAAATGTTTATAAGTATAATGCAAACCACTTTTAAATCAACAGCATCCTTGATAGAAATATCTAAAATACCAATTTCGCCTCAAATTTACTTAATGAAAGAATATTTGTATCAATTTAACCTCTGAATAATTTAAAGAGAACTTCAGAAACTGGTTAAATAGGTTCTTTACTGTCATATCGATCCGCGCGCTTGTAATTTACACGAACTTTGAGTATGAATGAGAAGAAGTTCGGAGTTCTTGTAAATGACGGCTATTTTTTTAATAAGCCATAGCATAGGTGACGCTAGTGTATAATAATCATGTTTGTGTAATCACTGTAGCTGTAAAAAAAATAACTGTCTATTGGACAAATATGACCTTACGTTAGTTAGTTCAAATTTTTCCACTTTCCCCCAGGTTATGCGTGACGTCAAACGTTGCCCTCGCCAAATGTCACATGATGTCTGTGTTTGCGTTCAGCCGAGACATTCGGCCGCGTCTTGATTGCGTTCAAGAGGCTTCTGAAGCAGACTGCCTGAAGAGCGTAAGTATTTTTAGCTTTTAAGAGCTTCACTGGTGAAAAATGTATAAAACAAGTACCTACTTAGGTATTTTTATCTCTTCCACTTTAACATTTTCACTGTAATTTACGATTGAGCCTTATCCACGTCTTGTTTATAAAAAGGAAGGACAAGTATGTGGCTAAGAAAATCTTTTGAAAAGCGCTTAACAGAATTATTTTTATGCTAGATACCTACAGTTTTATTATTTACCTAACTACCTAAGCACCTAATAGATTGAATTTAAATCGTAGTGATTTCGGGTTGTAAGCTTGTTTTATTAATACCCAAAGTTATTTTATAATTGGATCATTTCTCGGAAAGTTTAGCCGTAACGATTGTTATGTTTGAAAATATTTGGGCTTCATTGATTTTAATTTCCGCTTTCCCGCGAACTTCGTTCGGTTATGTTCGAATTATTCGTGGAATGACTCTGAATAGGAATCTTTGAATTGTGGTACCTATCTTTGAATCTAAACTTTGTTGGTAGGTATTACTGTTTTTCCGTCTTCCGCGGTTCTTAATTATTACAAGAATTTATGGCGCGGTACTGTTAACGAATTTATGAATTAGGTATAATTCATAAATTCGTTAACAAACCAATCAATAAATATTTTACTAAACCACAGGAACGATAGAAAAATACAAGTATCTGCATTCTTCAAAACATCTTGTTTCACTAACCGTAGCTGTAGTCTACTATTACTGATAGGGAATAGGTATACCTAGGTATAAGTTGTAAAGTCCCAAAAGTTAAAAACCCTACAAACTTCTCACACGTTATCGAGCATACCAAAGTAAGAACTGCAGTTTTGAAGTCTTAAGTAAGTATCTACTAACTTAACCCGTCGAGCGTCCGCGTTTCTTATGATCCAACGGGTGCACACGTGATATTTGGAAAGAAAGAAAGAAAATGCATTATTTGGCCATTGGCACACGAAAAAAGGATCATTACAATAGAAATAAAACATACAGTTAAAATAAAAACAAAACATTAATAATAGATTTTATAAAAGAGAAAGCAGCATGGAGCATTTTTTTTATGATCCACCGGGTGCTCATATGGACGCTCGAGGGGTTAAGAAAACTTCAGAATTGCAGTATCGTTATTCTAACCATCCACGCAGGTACAAGACAACGGCTCAGACTTGGCAAGCGTGGACGACATGAGAGTAGCGTCAGCTGCCAACAAGTACAATTTACATCCAGTCTTCCATGAGGTCTACGGTGAAGCCAAAACCCCAAACTACGCTGTAGCCGTTGTAAAGAAGAACACACAGTTTAATAATATCCAAGACTTGAGAGGCAAGAGGTAAGAAATTGATTAAACTGGGATGAGTGTGCAAAATGAGTGTTTTGTAGGGCCTTTTCGGATCCGGCCTTATAAATTGGTACGTCATTTTTTGTTGGTAGGTTGAACTGGGTTGAACGATAAACCTTTTTGATTAACTATAAATAAGGATGTTCAAAAGATTTTGCCCCATTTGAATTGAATGATGAAGTGTGGTGATTTAAATAATGGACTGGCAAAGTATCGAGTAAGTAGGTACAGATTTATTTAAGTAAAACAAGCAATTAAACTGGGCAAGAAGTACTTGAAAGAATAAATCCTTACTAATATTACAAATCGGAAAGTGAGTTTGTTTGTTTGTTTGTTCAACTTTCACTCCGTAACTACTAAACTGATTGCTTTGAATTTTTGTAGACGTAAAGTTTGAAGTCTGGATTAAATAATAGGGTACTTTTTAACGCGGAAAAATTTGATATTCCCGAGGGAAAACAAAAATATTGGTATAGATGGCGCTGTGTGTATTGGTAAATGTCACATAGGCTACTTTTTATCCTTTTGTGACGCGAGCGAAGCCGTGGGTAAAAGGTAGTACTTAATAAACCAGAGCCTTAACTAACTTAAACACAACAGATACAAAAACATTTCCACCCAGAAGAAATAAACTCCTTCCTAATCAACGAACTAAACAAATCGATCAACAAACTAACTCGATGAAACTCACAAGAACGCCTAACAAGCTCTTCAGCTTCCAAGAAAAAATATAAGCAGTTCCTACGTCCGGTCCAATACACAAAGTAATTTCGCCAATATACCGGTTTATTGTAGTACTTAGTACCTACCTATCGACAAAATGTCCTTCCCTTGTCGACAGGTCGATCTCAAATCACTACACACAAGCTTCTTATTGAATCCCAAAATCCCTATTATTTTAGGACCAACGAATTCGATCGAAATTCTTTCCGAAGTTTCTCGAACAAGTTTTAATGAGCGTTTCCTTTTCATTTAACTTTTTAATAACGGCTTTTTGGGTTAGCGTTAGCGTTGATACTTAGTTTTTAGGGGTTTACAATTGTCGTAAGTATTAAGAGAGAGATTATTCATGATTCTTTGTTGAAATTCGATTGAAATAAAATCGTCTATCGTGTTGTAGGTACCTAGAATCGTGCCTAGGTAGCTACGTATACATTACAAAGGCTGTAGGCTATATTCAATTATTTTTGAACTTTCAGATCTTGCCACAACAGTTATGGTACCTTCAGCGGTTTAGATGCTCCACTTTATTACCTCATCAACAAGAAAGTCATCTCCAGTGGTCAGGTTAGTCTATTTTTTTTTTTGCTATTTCATGGGCCGACGTTTGGCCACTATCTCGCTAGGTGGTAAGCGATGATACGGTCTACGATGGAGCACGTCTGCCCATAAGCAACCTATTCGCCCTGAAGACAACTTAGGTATACCCTTTAGGAAATATAAACTCTGGCAAAGAACTCCAGTCCTTAGCAGTTCGCTTCGTGCGAGTGGGTGGGATAACCACCATGAATTTTTATTTGTATTCACATTTATTATCTAGTTAAAGTATCGTCCAATACTTACGTACCTACTTTTATCAAATGCGAAGCTATGACAAATTCTTCATAGATATTTATTCAATAACTGTAGAATATCTATTAATAATGTCTATCTTATTTATACCAATGTGTTGTTCTGACAGTGCATCAAAAACTTAGCTGATTTCTTCAGCGAAGGCTCGTGTTTGCCTGGAGTCGACAAGCCGGAAAACAATCCCAGAGGTAGGTTCCTATAACCGTATAACTACGTCACTATTAGGTACTAGCTCACTGCAAATGGCTAATAAACATTTATTACCTCTTCTTTATTCCAAGTTCTGATTTATTGCCTACGTGATAAAAGGATTTAGTAGCTACCTACTTGGGTAGTTGGGTACTAAACATATTGCATTGATTATATTCCTTTCTATATTCTTTTCTTTATCTTTCAATATGTAGTTTTAGTACATTACGTAAATGGATAGCTAGGTTAGCACCTATTTTATTATATTTTTTTTTTGTTGGATAGTCCATTTATCGAGGAAGGCTATTGGCTATAAAACATCTAGCTACGATCAATAGGAGCCGAGCAGAGTGGGTGAAACTGCGCGCAAGTAGCTAGTGTTAAGATAAATAAGCACACGATGATTTTCACTTTTTTTTTCGGACCTATAGATAGGTACCTACATAGATAGGTACTACAAAGAAACTGAACTACACATTAAAAACCTTACCTTCCTTATTCATGTTGGTATTGTTTCAGGCGATGACGTAACAAGACTCCGCAAGCAATGTTCCGGAGACGGCAGCCCAGTGAAATGCCTTCAAGAAAACCGCGGTGACGTAGCATTTGTTTCAAGTAAGTACTTACAAAGCGAAATATTCAAGTTAATGGGTTTCGTAGTTCGTTTACCGCAAAAACGTGTTTCAATAAATAGGAGTTCGAGTTTGCAATACCAGTTTTCCTTGTTTACGTCACTTGAAAGTAATTAAAGTTCAAAGTTGAACGGTTATCTCGGAACGAGAGATTGCATACAATACCTTGTTTATAGTTTGAGATCTGTCTGTCTAATTAATTAGGTTATCTCTTGAATCTGCTTAATTGACAAATTATACTAATCAGGGGCCGTCCATTTGAGATTAACCACCCATCCCCTTACTATTGTAGTTTTTTAACACAAAATACAAGTGGGTTAACATTTTCTAGGTACAACCTTTAAAATTTTGTGTAATTTGGTTAAAGTATAGAACTATTTAAGAGTAACACTTTTATGGAGGTAGGAAACAAAGTACACACTCAACCCCGTTCTAAAATTTAAAAAATAAATTCACTGACATTTTATTAAGACCACCGTCCTCCGTCGTGAGGTTTCGTGATTTTTTGTCGAACCCACTTCCCCTAATTAACCCTCACATTATTGATAGACGACCTCTTAGGTATTAGGTAAAGACGATTTGATGGTCCGATTGAAGATTTAACATTTGTAGAGTTTCTATAAAATTGCCTCATTGGCCGAGCGGTCGCAAGTGCGACTGCAGGGCAAGGGGTCTCGGGTTCGATTGCCGGGCAAAGTATTATTGGTATTTTTTAAATTCTTAATAGTAGCACGGAGTCTAAAATAGTGCCCGGTAGGCGGTATATGGCACCCCCTTTTACATGGGACTCATAACATAAATAGTGAAAAGTGGGTGTTACATTGTACAGCGACATTAAGTGTCGTAATGTACACTTCTGCCTACCCCTTCGGGGAAAGAAGGTGTTTTGTTATGTTATGATGTTAGTGTTTCTACTGCCATAAATCCACTTTTCTGCAGTAACTGGGCCTAATATAAATAGGGAACACCTCTTCGGGTATGAAAGTATCCATGTTTGTGTCTGACTACCTTACTCATGTTTAAACCTACATCACTTAGCCTTACAATGGAACAAAACAAACTATTGAAATCGTGAAGACCTAGCTACTTACTTTAATAAAATAGATCTACATATTATAATACCTAATGAATAGTATAAGTATTTTGATAAAGGCTTGTATGTAAGCAGTTTGCATGAATTCTACATTCGATCGTTATCTCCAGGCGCTGATCTATCCAGCTTCGACGCGTCAGAGTATGAGCTACTTTGCTTGAACCGCGAATCAGGAGGACGCGACAGCCTCAAACAGTACAGCACATGCAACATTGCAATGGCACCCTCAAGAACTTGGATGGCCGCTAAAGACTATCTATCAGACGTCTCCATCGCCCACACACCACTCAGTCTAGCCCAGCTCCTAGACACCAGAAAAGACCTATTCAACATATACGGAGAATTCCTCAAAAACAACAATGTAATTTTCAATGTAAGTTTCCATTTTAAAACAACTGTTTATAATATTCACTAGCTTTTACCCGCGGCTTCGCTCGCGTCACAAAAGGGTAAAAAGTAGGCTATGTGACATATAACAATACACACAGCGCCATCTATACCAATACTTTTGTTCTCCCTCGGGAATATCACATTTTTCCGGGATAAAAAGTACCCTATTATTTAATCCGGACTTCTAACTTTACGTCTGTAAAAATTCAAAGCAATTGGTTTAGTAGTTACTGCGTGAAAGCGGAACAAACAAACACACTTTCCGATTTATAATATTAGTAAGGATTCTGCCGTTCAACATTCAACAAAGTTTCGTATACAACTGTAAATACTATATTGTTTCAGAACGCCGCGACGGGTCTGGCTACTACCGAGAAAATGGACTTTGAAAAGTTCAAGCAAATTCATGACGTCATTTCTAATTGCGGTGTCGCTTAGATTATCATAAGCATTAGATACTTACTTACCCTTTATTGAGGGTTTTAGGGTATAAGTTTACTAACTCAATAAAATAAAGAACTGTTTTACTTGCTGAAAAAGTACTAATTTTTGTAATAAAAAAAAATACATAAAAAGGAGGTCTCAAAAACAAGTCTGATTAAATAACTTTTATTTCATCACTTATATTGACAATAATAAATAAATAATACCGAAAAAATTTTCGCTTTTTATTTTGGTCCTAAAGAAATGATTATAATGATGCTAATAATGTAGTAATCGCAATGGTCAGGCCGAGCATGGCATAGCCGGAAGAGTAAACCTCTTTGATAGTAAGTCCCTTAGCCATGTCCCATACAAGATGTCTGATTCCGTTGGCAAAATGGTAGCCAACTGGTGCCGCAAGCAAGAATTTTGCAACAAATAAAGTAGCTGGAGATAAGTTGAGGTTCTCGATAATTGCAATATAGTGGGAGATGTCTTGTGGCAATACTAAGGCTCCAATACCCAGCACTCCAAAGTAACCTGACAAGATGATTCCTACAACAATGATTATTTTTATAGCACCAATCGTAAAGACATCAAAATATTGAAGGCGCCATTTAAAGATAATTTAAAACAAAGTGAGTGTTTAGAAGTCTAGACACTTCTAAACACTCACACAACACACAATTAAAAATCTGTTATTTCACTTTTAATCTTATTTTTTCATAGAAAAGTAAATTTTTTTAATTTCATCTTGATTTAATAATTTCATAAATATTCAATTCAAGGTAAACCACTATAGTGGAATCTATCTCTGTCAGAAATATCACACATAACATAAAAACACTTCTTTACTTGAATAACAGGCAATGCAATCATTATAAGGTCATGTGATCAACTTTAAAGGTACCTAATTAGCAATCAAAACTATTCAAAACACAAAAAGTAAAAGTGCATACCTGTCGCTCTGTGGGTAACAGACAATATGCTGGTTAGCTGTGGAGCATAGATGCTGAGATGAGGAGACATCGGCCGTTTGAGACGAGCGTTTCTATCATCATGGTGCTCAATCTTGGGCGGTTCAAATTTCTTGAACACAATTTTAGGAGCACCAGCCGCAGCCTGGGCATAATTTACGGAACCAAGCACAGTAGGCACTTTATTTATGCTTGCTAGCAGTGAACGGCTGCCCAATCTAAAACAACAATACAAGTTTAAGCACAACTCCTTTCCAAATGCCAACACTCAACAGCAACCTAACCCTTGTTACATAATTTGTCAACATACCTGCCGCAGTTGAAGAAAGCCATGTTTTATTCAAAGTAAATTATTTGACACACTCGTAGGCTTCTGTAAGGGATATAAAGACTTAGAATTACATGAAAAACTAATTAGAAGTACAAAAAAAATAAACAAATTGGGCTCACCACTGAGTCTGACGATTTGAGCGAGTTGACACTGACAGATAAAACACAATAATTTTGACACTTCCTCGTGAAATCCAGAACGTTTCGTTTATTTCGTTTCGATGTGGTACTATCGGCTATAATATCGCTAAATTGTCGCCAATTTCTACGCACATATTAGACATGAATATACTTCATAGTCTACTTAAAACTCAAAATATTTTTTATTTTCTCTGTGAACTAAAATCTATTACTTTCTTAGGAAATCGAATTAAATTTTGCGTAAGAAGAAATGTTTTGACGGACATTCAAGTACTTTCTAAACACGTTTCGTCATACGAAGTAATTAAGTCGCGTCATGATTTTAAAGAGAAATTCAACAGCTATCTAAACAAATCTAATTAATAAATTTAGATGCGCAAGTTGCGTAATTAGAATAATGTTTATTTGAATCTGCAGTGTGTCATATTTTAGAATATTGGTAGTCGTATTTATGTTATATCTGTACAGAACTAAGAAGTATTGATGTAAGAAAGAAACGTAAATGTCATCATTGCAGAAAAGCAATTTCCTTTGCTTTCATCGTATTCATTATATCGCTAAATTCAAAATACTATATCGTGTGGTGTTTCAAATATAGGAAATATTAATAAATGTTACGTGTCTTAATCTTAACAGTTGTGGCCGCTACCTTTCGTAGCAATTTCGCAACTGTAGCTGCAATGAATTTTAAATCTGTTGACTTCGAAGTATTTGGCCGGGTCCAAGGTGTTTTCTTCCGAAAGGTTTGTATAATATTACATTTTGTAACATATTTGCTTTATTAAACTAATAATAGTATAGGTTTAAGCCATTAGCATTTCATAAGTACAGCCAACACAGTGTTGGGTCTGTTTTTCTAAAAATAGGTAACCAATGGAGCTATATGTGTACTAACTACCAATACCCCACATAATCTATTTTATTTTCTATTATTGAACCCTAAGATAACTTGAGAACCTTTACAAGTGGGGCTTCAAGGACAATCATTGGGTTTCTATGTTTTACTTTATCCAAGGTGTATGAAGATGGAAAATATTATAAAAATTGATAGATAAAATACTTAAACGTTATTTGGCCCTGTATGCCAGGGTGTATTGTTAATTTTATAGGCCCCAAACATATTGAAATATTTTCAATTGATTATTGATAATTTGCTTTTATTGATATTGGGTAATTTGCATTTGTTTTACAATTTTCTATGAACAAAACCTACTTTGAAACTGCTCAAAAGAAATAAAACCTTCATTTTGACAATTTCCTGACTTTGCCTGTCATTATAAAATATCAAAATAATAAAAGATTATCATTACTTCAATAAAGTGAATGTTAAAATACTTTTTTTTTTCAAATAGTAGTCCGAAAATGGTGATGCAATCAGTTGATTTTGAAGTATTTGGAACAGTTCAGGGAGTTTATTTTCGAATGGTATTATTTTCACATGTAATTAATTAACTTCTAGCTTAAACTTAAACTTAATTTGACCTTGAACCCTTTTTTTTGTGAGAATGAGTAAAAAAATTACTCCTGTCGTCCCAGGCGGAGCTATGGCCCCGAGAGTGCCGCCTTAACTAGTAAACTGCAATATAATAATAAGGTGAGATGACGGGCATTGTAGTAAACCCTGCGGGCTACCATCATCTCCAGTGCTCCAGAGAGAAGTCACTGTTCCTTATTCTCCGGCTTGCCTTAATTGGCCTGGCTGGAGTGAATGATGACAAGGAACAGGTCTCCCACCTCTAGCTTGCCTTAATTTGTTTTTTTTTAAAAAAACTTTGCCACACATTAGGATTTTCTCCTGTGTCTTGGATGCGTTTACAAACATACAAGTTCACATACACAATAACACCCAGACCCGAAACAACAATTTGTGGATCACACAAAGTGTTGTTCCAACCTTTATTTTTTCCATTATCCACAATAGTTCTACACTAACCGGGGACTGTCCTTGGGTGCATTTCCATAGTGCATACGGGAATAGTCGCTGGTTTGTGTCTCCATTACATTTAGATTAAAGTTGTCTAAAAGGTGCGCAGTTGGCTTCGGCCCCTCGTACGCCTCCCAAATGACCGGGACCCTGTGGTCCCGTGAATGGTAGACACACATAATAATAATATTATATTGCAGTTTATTAGTTAAGGCGGCACTCCCGCAGTAACTAGTAAACTTCAAAAATACAAAAAATGAATTAAAATACTGATATGGTTTTTGGTCTCTAGTACACCAAAGAGCAGGCCGAAAAGCTGGGTCTTCGAGGGTGGTGCAAGAATACTTCTACAGGCACAGTACTCGGACGAATGCAGGGACCGACTGACAAAGTGGAGGCTATGTAAGTTTCGTAAAACCATTCAAATATCTACTGTTCTTTTTTCAATTTCGTGTTGAAGTAGTTGAAAGTTTTTGCAATCAATAGAAGAGTGAAAGAGAAAGCACTAACTCGTGACGAATGGAATTTACGGCTCCTGTAAAGCTTTTCTTACTCTTAATTTACACTATGGCCATTTTATCAACCTGAAAACAATTAGTTACTTCTATTTTAGTTTAATAATATGACAAGGTAAATAACAATGAATTAGGTACCTACCTACATCTGTCGACGAAATTCAGAAAACTTACGAAACTTCTGCATCAAAGGCTAAATACCCCACATAGAAACTGAGACTTTTCCGTTCTCATTTCATTTTTTAAGTGTCGGAGAGCCATGCTTCGGCACGACCGGAGTGATACCACGGCCTCACAGAAAACAGACGCAAAACAACGCAAACGTTGTGTTTCGTCGTGTGAGTGAGAAACACAACGATAACCTCTTATCGGAGGCCTAATTACCCCCTCCCCAATCCCCGAATCCCCAATAATTCTCAAATTCCAAATCCCCAATAGGTTGGTAACGCCTTTGTAACACCTCTGGTGTTTCGGGTGTCCATGGGCGGCGCCAATTGCTTACCATCAGGTGATCCGTCTGCTCGTTTACCGACTTATGCCATAAAAAATTGAACTAAATTACGGTTAGCTAGTAACTAATATTACGAATCAGAATGTCTGGTAATAAAATTGCAGAAAAACTTCTTTGAAGTAAAAGTCGTAAATCCCTGATTATAAAATCACTCGATTGAATAAAAATAAATATGAATAGGTATCTATTATCATCATAATTGATCGATAGCCAAACTAAACACTTAAAAAAATGATGGCTTTGAAACAATAATGGGAGTTACTCAGACATTTTACGACGTCACTGCTAGCCTTGAAAAATATGAGTAAAAATTTCAATTATGGCTTACAATAAAGAAGGCTAAGTTCTTTATTTTACGGTTAAAAATCCTGTGACATGGACAATTTTGCAGACAAAAAATGCAATCAAGTGCTTGACAACACCCTGCGGTGAAACTCGTTTAACAGTAACAACCAGTAGCCCTAAACTTGGAAACTTGGTTCAAATAGATACGTTTACAGTAGGTATTACAGTAAATGTTTAACTTTTATTCAGCGACGGTTTAATACCACTGTCAGAGAGAAACCTAGCAACTCGTAATGAATACGAACCACGATTCATTACAATGGAGACCAGCGCGCAAATTAAACTCAGGGACTTTGTAATTAGTTTTCTCGTACCTAATTTCTAGAAATTTTCCCTGTCTTTACAGGATGCACTGGCTGAAGACCACTGGGAGTCCCAGTAGCAAAATAGAAAAATGTGAATTCAGAAACCAGATAAATATCGACGATTACACCTTTAATAATTTTGAAATCCATCGTGATTAATTACTTCCAAGTACTATACAAAGTAATTGCAAATTGCAATATGATAAGCTAATAATTACATGTTTGTATTGTATCATAATGTGTTGGGATATTTTGAATACTCGGCCGTGTTAGGTACACGTACACACACGACCGTAATATCGTATTTGTAATTTATTTGAGTTGAGACTAACTATAATACACTCGGGAATTAACCCAAGTTGTTTTAATTCAAACCCCAACATTCACACTTTAATATATTAAAGTTTATTAATTATGCCGTGTACAACATGGCAAATGGAACAAAAACTCGGCGGGAATTTTTAATTACATTTAGCCCTCGCGTCAACCTCCATCTCGCAAATGTGCAGAAAACAAAAGCTTATCTCCAGAGACCGTAATAAAAGAGCTCCACTCACTCATTACTCAAGTAATCAGTAAAAACTCTCAGCTCCCTGTAAATTCCATTTTATCAAATGCTGATGCCACTCCAGACAATCTAATCTCACGAGCGAGGGACTAAGGTCAAAATGGCAGAATTATGTCGCCAAAGTAAACCGAAATTCCTTGAAGGTGAAACACGTAGAACGTAATGTATTAGCAAAGTAAACAAAGCGGCAAGCCTCTGTCTTATTCGGCAGAATACGCTATTTGTCACTCAGTATCGACTTACGAAAATAACTCTGGACTCGATGAACCTACAGGTGGTTTTGTTTCATCGTTTCAAGTGTTATTACTTGATAGAGTTATTTTTGTAGTAGGTAGCATACCAACGCTACAGGTAACACTATGGTGCTCGGAGAGTTGAGCTTATAATTTTTTCAACACGCGATAAACGTGGGAGAAAGTATTAAAAATAATGTACTAGGGTCGCTGGTTGAATGAAAAAGTTTCTCGCGAAATATGTGCCTTGGGAGGCATCCCATTAACGCCTGAAAGACTTTCAAGGTTTATGCTCTGTTGGATTTTATATGAACCGCTTTCATTTAGATATGATGACTGATGGCTGCCAATATGTTTTACCACGTTAAATATTCACGATATGAGCGCTGAAACACGAAATTGTTATTGGCACCAAGCCGGATAACAATAATCTAATTTATTAAGTTCTTAAAGCGCGAAAA